TCGGTGACTCTGTCTCTCTGTCCCTTGGCCCTGTGAATCTTGGCTATATAACACTGGCGAAGGACGTTGCTGGTGAGCGAGTGAGGGTGAGTCCTGACCAGAGGACAGTGTGAGTGTCAGTGATCTGGGGGACAAGTTCCGCCCTCAGTGTGGCCGGGACCACCCAACCCCCTGGGGGTGTGGGGAGAACACAGACAAATGCAGATGTGTCCATGTCCCTGCTGGAGCTGGGACACTCCCTTCCTCCCTTGTCCTGGGACAACAGTGCCAGGCTCCCCAGCCTGGGGACTCCAGGGCACATACCAGTGATCTCCTGGGTGCTCAGGCTTTGGCCGCAGACTGGGGACAGCATGGGCTTCCCTGGCTCTGAGCCACCGCACTTGGACGGAGCCCTGCTGCCAGCATCCCAGGGTCTGTGGGTTGGGGATGGCCTGTCCTGGTACTTGTCATCCTCCCTTACCTGTGAGCCCATCCCCCTCACATACATCCCTCTCCTGTCTCTGCCTGTCACTGTCCCCACCTGCCCAGCCTGTTGCTTGTGTCTCTGTGGATCCCAGACTCACACGGGCAGCAGAGGCACCAATGAGGAGGGATGTGGGGACAGGGGGACCTGCTCTGCCCGCCCAGCCCCCAGAGGGTGGTCCACAGGGCTCAGCCCACCCAGGAAGCCCGACTCGCTCACGTCCATTGCAAACAGACATGGGCAGGGCTGCTCCGGAACCAGAATTTTGCCTGTCCAGTGTTGATTCGTCACACCCATTTTCGTCATGAGCAATTCTAAGGCCTGTCTAGCTCTAGGAAATGAAAAGCCACCTGAGGGCATGGAACCTAGGCTCTTCCTGAGTGGGTGACGGGCTGCAGAGGACCCTGGTCAGGGCAGTTGCAGGTGCAGGAGGGGACGGACCTGTGACTACAAGCCTTTGGGAAGAAACCTGTGAGAGGAACTCAGAGGAGAAAAGTATTTGCAATAGTAAAATCATGTTGTGTATTTATTAACCAAATAATCCCAATCAAATCAAAATCAAAGGTGCTTCTGCAGCTAAGGAAAGCGAGACAGCGCCAGCACGTGACAGGTGATGCTGTGACCTGTCACAGTGTGACCGTGGATGCCAGGTGATCTCCGTGGACAACCTTATTTACACTCTCGTCTGTAAATACACAAGTCATAGACGCAGCCCTCTCTCTGGAGTGAGACCTTACATTTTTCAAGTAGCGCTGTGCAACACTAGCCTCACGCCTGGAGATGTCTGATCCGGACACCCTGGACCTTCCCGAGTTCTGTCCCCGCCGTGGCAGCAGCACAGGAAAGGACTGATCGTCTCAGGGGGTGGCCCACTGTCCCCAAAGATCCTGCACACAGTGTGGGGCCTCGTGACACTGAAGAACCCGTCACTGTCCTC